GGTCTTAGGGCCTTAGAGTCTTAGGGTTTTAGGGTCTTAGGTCGTGTCTTACGGTCTTAGGGTCTGAGGGTCTCAGGGTTGTCCGAATGACGCGCGACTACACAACATCAAGCATGCCAACAACATCAACAAACGTCAAACGTCAAAGAACAAACATACAACATCAAATAATACATACACCACACAGCATCATCAAACAATAACATCATACATCAAATAGCAAACGTACCACATCATGACAACACCACCACGAATCGTCAAACAAACCACAACAAACATACTCAACAGGCAAACGAGCAAAGCGAAACACACATAGTGCCATTATACAATGCATGCGCTTAAACGCAAAGAGCCAAACACTGAAACCGACGGGCAATTTGAACATAGATCTCACGCGCCTAGAGAGGGGTCGGCAGAGTTCGCTATGTAGCGCAGCCCGATCCCAGCCAGCCCAGCATTCTGGCATCCTTGCCTGATGAGGTTAGCTAATACATGTTGCTATTATAGCGCAGCCCGATCCGAGCCCCCCCTGGCACTCTGGCAGCCTTGTCTTATCTCTACAAACAGTCAATGCAAAAGCATCCTTACCCATCCAGGGAATCCAGGAAATCCAAGGAATGCACCCTTACCCATCCGTCGCCAATTAGACTCAAGCCATTTTGCAACAATGTCGCTCTGGGACGACCCGCGTGCAGAGAGATTCCTTCCGATATGGAACCCTGTCACGCAATGTCTCAACTATCCTTGGTTCGACGGGGACAATATTGACTGGCTCCCTGCTCACTTGTGGTTACACCGCCACAACAACAGAGAGCTGTTCGGCCGCTCGCGGTACATCAAGACGCCCACCCCAGAGCAACAGGACGACGACGACGTCGTCCACGGCACGGACGGCGCGGAGGCGGCCGACGAGGAGGACGTGGACATGGCGGGCAGTGCAGAGAAGCAAGCGGCAAGCGACGACGCCACCAGCAACATCGCCGCAGACCAGCCGGCCACCATCGGCGACATGACGGGTAACGCCGACGACGCGGGCCACGACACGGGCGGCGCGGAGGGGGCCGACAGCCTTCACGTGGACACGGCGGGCAGCGCCGCAGAGCAGGTGGCAAGCGACGACGACGCCAGCATCGTCATGTCTCCAGACAGCGCTGCAGATCCAGCGGCCGTTGTCGCGGCCATCGTCGGCGACACGACGGGCAACGCCGAGCACGACGACGCGGGCCACGACGGGAAGGGCTGCGCGGAGGCTGCCGGCGAGGAGGCCGACGTCGACGAGCTGATCACCCCTAGCGGCGACAGAGACCACGCCAGCGCTGGCAGCGAGGAGGACAGGCTTCTGACTGAGCCCATGCCTCTTCTGAAGCGTCCGCGGCAGTAGGCAAAAAGCCCGAGGAGGTAGTATCCTTGGTCGACGGCCCCCACAAGGCTCCCAGGAGACCCCCAAGAGGCCTCAAGAATATCCCAGAGGCAACTGAGACCATCAAAAACGGCCCTGACTTCCCTGGTCACCTCAACTCGCCTTGGCGTCGTTTCTGGATGGGCTGGTGGGGATACGCGAAGCGTCAAGAATAACTGACGGGACACTGTGTACAACTGCCTGCCACAACTACCTGGGATCATACACTTGACCGTTGCTGACTCCACCGTCGTCGTCGTCGTCGTCGTTACGTCGTCGTCGTCGTCGTCGTCTGGGCGCCTCTTGGGGAGTCTTGGGGCGCTCTTGGGGGCTTTCGAAGCGCTCTTGGAACTGGGCTCTCTCGGGGCCGTCTCGGGGCTCTACCGGGCCCCTCTTGGGGCTCTCTTGGGCCATCTTGAAGCCCATCTTGAGGTCCAAGCATCAAGTTTTTGAAGGGTGTGGGCATCTTGGGGGCCTCCTTGAGGGTTTCGAGGGCCTCTTGGAGCCGTCTTGGAACGTTCTTGGGGCCTCTTGGACCAGCCGGGGGGCCATTTTGAAGCATACTGCGCTATCTTGAGCCATCTTGGAAGCCATCTTGAGCTCTCCGAGCCTCTCTTGGAGCCATCTTGGACGCTCAAACGCGCCCCCCCCCCCTGTTCCAAGTCCAGGTAAACCCCTCCCCGAAGGGGAAGGGGGTTGGCTGGTGGGATTCCCCGACTTTGCGAGCAGTCTCCCGCATCCGATGCGCAGGCGCTTCACTCGCCATTGCATCTGCTGGTGGGGATACAACTCTGCTGGTGGGGATACAATAAGTAGCCAAGAAGTGTCCTGGATCCTATCCGTCGAGGGCCCACACTCGACCCATCCAGCGTTGCGTTTGCACAAGAATTCGATGGCGGATGAAGCCATGGCCAAAAACATCGAAGGTCGACGCTCGAAGCTTCAACCTCGATTGAAACAGAACGCGTACACGTCTTCGTCGTCGTCGTCGTCACCCCCTCCGTCTGTGGCCCCCGACTGCCCGGCCAAGGGGGGGCCAGGCGGAGGGGGGGGCGGACTTTTATGGGAGGGGCGGGGGTGGGGATCGAGGAGGAGGGAGGAGGACGGGAAGGACGACGACGCCGACGACGACGACGACGACGACGACTGGCCTGCTATGTTCCCACGCTTCGCGTAGCATGGCCTGATTCTTGGGGTTCGAACCTCCATTGGACGTTTTTCCACCTTTTTGTTCCTGGAGGATCGCCGTCGTCACGGCCGGATCCGCCTGGAGATTCTGGCGCGGGCACACCCCTGGATGGATTTGGAGTCGACTTTCGGCCCCTGGGCCCGGCAGCGGCCGCAGTGGACGACAGCGGCGGCCTGGCGAGGCTTCGACGAGCGCTGTCGGCTGCTGGCTCCAAGCAGATTCGGGCGGTGGGTGAGTGGTGGGTGGGTGGTGGGTGGGTAGTGGGTGGGTTGTGAGAGCGGGAGGTGGGTGGTGGTTGAGTAGGTGGGTAGTGTATGCTGGGTGGTGGGTGGGTGGTGGATTAGTGGTGGGTGAGTGGTGGGTGATGGTGGGTGGGGTGGTGGGTGGTGGGTGGGAGGTGGATGGTGGGTGGGTGGGTGGTGGTGGGTGGGTGGGTGGTTGGTAGGTGGGTGGTGGGTGGTTGGTGGGTGGGTGGGTGGACGGTGGGTGGTGTATGGCTGCTTGGTGGGTGCGGGAGTGGTGGGTTGGTGTGGGGTGGGTGGTGGGTGGTGCAGGGGTGTGTGATGGGTGGTGGGTGGGTGTTGTGTGGGTGTTGGGTGGGTGTTGGGTGGGTGGTGATTGGGGTGGTCCCTGGGTGGAGGGTGGTGGGTGGTCGGTGGATGGGTGGTGAGCGGGGGTCGGTGGGTGGGCGGTGGTGGGTTGGTGGTGGGTGGGTGGTGGGTGTGGATGGTTGATGGGTGGTGGGTGAGTGGTGGGTGGGTGGTTTGGAGCTGGTGAATGGTGGTTGTGTGGGTGGGTGGGGGGTGGATGGTGGATGGGTTGTGGGCGGGTGGTGGCTCGGTGGCAAGTGGGCGGTTCGGGCGGTGGGTGGGTGGCGGGTGGGTGTTGTATGGGTGGTGGGAGCCTGGTGGGTGGGTGGTGGGTGGGTGGTGGGTGGGTATGTGGGTGGGTGGTGGGTGGTGGGTTGTGGGTGGGTGGTGGGGGATACGTTGATAGTTGGCGGGTGTTGGGTGGGTGGTGGGTCGGTGGTGGAGGGTGGATGTGACATGTATGGTGGGTGGGTGGTGGGTGGGTGGTGTGGAGCCAGTAGTGGTGGGTTGTGGGTGTGTGGTGGGTCAGGGGTTGGAGGGTGGTGAATGGGTGGTGAGTGGGTGGGTGGGTGTTGGGTGGTTGTTGGGTGTGTGCAGTGGTGGGTGGTGGGTTGGTATGGGGTGGGTGGTGGGTGGGTGGGGGGTGGGTGGTGGTTGGGTGGTGGGTGGTCGGTGGTGGGTGGGAGGTGGGTGTGTAGTGGTTGGTGGGTTGGTGGGTTGTAAGCGGTAGGTGTGTGGTAGGTGGGGGGTGGTGGGTGGTTGGGGGTGGGCGGTGGGGTGGGTGATGGGTTGGTGGTGGGCGGGTGGTGGGTGGGTGATGGCTTGCAGGTGGGCGGGTGGTTTTTGCCCACGCCGTCCCCTGACTCTTAGCTGCCAAGTGCGTGGTGCTACGCAGTGAGAGGAACATTGAATAACTTTGCTAGACTACAAGGTATATTCGTCCTGACACACATAAGGCATCAACTGATTATGTTTTTCTGTGGTTTAATGGTATAAGTTTTTCGTTTGGTTTAACGACTGTCTCTGCCCTCATAGTTTCACGATTGCCCCCCTCATTATTGCACGACTGTCCCCCACATGGGGTTTCACAAATGCCTCCCCCCCTCGTGGTTCCGTGGACAACCCAAACCCAAACCCAAACCCAACCTACATCAACTTCTGTATTGGAAACCCAAACTACCCTGTGGGGGCTGTGGTGCCCGTGAGACTTGTGGGACCTGTGGGGCTTGTTGGACTTGCGAGCCCTGCAGGACGTGTGGGACCTGTTGGGTCCGCGGGGCTGAAGGACCGCCTGGAACTTCCTCGCAATACACACCTAAATGAGGCTCCCCAAAAAAATAACATGCACCTCAAAACAAACAAAACAATCCCAAGCCAGAAAACCACACACGCCCATACAATATATGTCATTAAATTGTTCAGGGGACTAATGATGTAATAGTAACCGTCTTAACAATATATTGAGCAATTAAGGAGCCTATCTTGGAGCATCGGGAACCCTCCTGGAGCCAGCCTGGGCGAAAGAAGCCCCTGGGGGGGAGAGGGCTGGTACCCTTGCCCGAAGGGAAGAGGGTCTTGGTAAGAGAAAAGAAAGATATCGCTAGCCGTGTTAGTGCAGACGCACGAGAGCACGGCACAGTGGGTGACATCAGACACAATAATCAACAGGAGCGGCACCACCAGCAGCGCGATCAGCAACCCATAGCAAGAGCAGCACCAGCACCAGCATGACAAGCACCAGTAAGTGGCGTCGTTGGCTCAAGCCTGGGCCACCGACCGATTGCAGCGCAGGTTCCCTGACGCTGGATCCCGAATCTCAGTGATGGACCTCGACGAGCTCCTGCCGGACGAGGTGCCTCAGCCCAAGCCCCAGCCCAAGCGTCAGCCCCAGTCCAAGCTGGTGAAGCCGAAGGCAAAACCCAAGCCCCAGCCCAAGCGTCAGCCCCAGTCCAAGAAGTCTACCTCGTCGGAGAAGCCTTCGACAAACAAACCCGTCAAGAAGACTACTGACAAGAAGAATACCGACAAGAAGAAGAATACCGACAAGAAGAAGGCCGTCAAGAAGGCCGTCAAGAAGAATACCGACAAGAAGAAGAAAAGCAGACGTGATCCGTCACCGTGCTCGTCTTCTTCATCCTCCGAGGGGGCCGTGCTCTTGCGCCTGGGGACGTTCTTCAGCGGGCTGGAAACTCCATCGGTCGCCTTGAACCAGATCGGCCTGCCACACAAGTTAGAGTTTGCGATTGAGCTAGAGGACTGCCTGCGGACCCTCATCTACCAGACGTGGCACCCCACGGAGCTGCACTCGGATGTGAATTCTGTCGACATGAAGGCTTTGCCCGACGTCGACATCGCTGTTGGGGGAGCTCCGTGCCAGCCATTTGCCAAGGGTGGCTCATTGAAAGGCATGGAGGATCCACGGGGGCGTCTCGTCTACAAGATGGTCGAGTACGTGGAGGCCAAGGCCAAGGCTAATCTTCCATTGCCGCGCGCCCTCCTCATGGAGCAGTCCAAGACCTTGAAGAACAAGTGGAGCGACGTTTACGACAACATCAAATCTCGTCTTACCAAGCTAGGCTACCGCTTCAAGTCGACCTTCGTCAATACCAACCTCCATGGAATACCCCAATCACGCGAACGGCTTTACATGGTGGCCTACTTCAAGGTGCACAAGTTCCACTTTCCCGAGGAGTTGAAGACAACCATTCCCATTGAGAAGATGTTGCACCCGATGTGGCAGACCGACTTGAAGACCACGCTTGTCCCAACAAACGCAGTGGCGCGGATTGACCAGGCCCGCAAGGAAGCGGCGGACAGCGGCTACAACCCCGACGTCGACACCGTCTTCGTCGACCTAGACTCGTCAGAGCGTTTCTGGAGTTGGAAGGTTGATGAGAGCATGACGTTGACGAGAAGGCGATGTGAGGGTGGCGGCTGGTTCATGACGAACCGCGGTCGCCGGCAGACTGTCCGTGAGATGCTCGCGATGCAAGGGATCGTCCCGCGTAGTCTGGGGGGCACAACTTGCATGTCTAGGACGGCGCTGCTGTCTGCGATCGGCAATGCCATGTCAGTCAACGTACTGGAGCGGATCCTGCCCCGCATCGCCTGGTCCATCGGTAAGCTGCCCCAGAAGATGCACGACGTCTGGGATGATGAGTCCTGGGCGCTGAGGGGAGGCCGTTTCAATGACGAGTCATCGTGGTTTCTCTGAGTGAGGGCTGGCGATTCCAATATGTTGCTAGGGCAGTGGCTAAGTACAGGAGGAAGTATGCATAAAATTTACAGCTCTAGCAATTTGATTGGGAGTTGCGCGTGGCTGAGGCTAGCGCGAGGCTGAGACCTCCCTGCCTCTGCGAACAAAGGCTTAGCGACGGACCAGGGCGAAAATCAACGCGGCTTCCGCCTAGTACCGCCAACCCTGCCTTGTTGCGTTTTGCTTGGCTTGGCTTGTGGTGCCTCTCTGGCGGGGTGGAGTCTCGGGCCCTCTGGCTGCGCGCGAGGCCCTGCTGGGCCTGGGGGGCTTCGGCTTGAAAATTGTTCCGGAGCGTGTTGGGTTTTAGGATTATTGGGCCATGCGCTGGGCATTCTGGGCACGTCGAGGCTTCGAGCCAAGGGGAGGCCCCGTAACCGCATAAGCATGCAGCACGACGGCCAGCAACACGTGCAGGAGCCAACATCCACATCACGAATGGCAAACGTAGCAACGCAACAGTCAGACTCAGCAGTTGTCGCGGAAAGTCGTGGTGGTATGCGTATACGGCGTATAAAGACGCATAACAGACACATGCACGTATACAACCTCATATCCATAAGCAATTGCAGCATGCGCGCAATCACGGAAACCCATGAATGCATATACACGTACATACGTGGATGCATACCCGTGCGGATTCCTAACATATACGTTCACATATATACCCACATGGGCACACACGTCAAACGCATGCATGGATCTATGGAGCGATACACATACGCGTATGCATACATGCACATGATCTCGCTATCGCACATATAGGCGTACATATATGTAAATGCCCAACCCTACACGAACGCGGGCATGTATGCACACCCTGGCTATACTTTGTATATGTGGATCGATTCGCATTCGCGAACGTACACATAAACGTATACACGCATATACGTGTACTATCCGTACATGTACATGTGTGCAGGGTTACAAAACAGTGTTCGGACATACGTCGATTCCAATGCGTACGCATCATCAAATTCTATCAAATTCTGGCATGTATATATGCATAGTTGCACGAGTAACTACATGTATACACGCGCATCTATACATACATGTATTTCTGTGTCTACGTATATATATATATGTATATAGATACGTGTGCGTAAACATAGCTGTACATACATATATGTGATATATATGTATGTATGTATGTATGTATGTATATATATATGTACACATACATGCATACACACATATATACATATATATATAAGAGAGAGAGAGAGAGAGAGAGAGAGAGTGTGCCAGCGAGAGGGACATATACAAGTACATACAGAGACAGAGACATATGCATAGACAGAGACAGAGATGGAGGACGAGGGGGAGGAGTCCATGAGCCGACGGGGAGAGCGAAAAACGCTAAACTTTAGCTATGCCCTGGCAAGCCGAGCCGGCGCCGGATCCGGCGCCGGCGCCCGAGCCGGCGCCCGGGCCGAATCCGGCTCCGGCGCCGGCTCTGGCCGGCGCCGGAAAATTGAATGCCGAGGGGTTGCCGAAAAGCGGCGCCACTCCAATACACATTTTCCTTTCGACGATGCAAACTTCTGCTCCAAGCGCTTTGGACTGCTGCGTCTCAAGGATAGGTAGAGCAGACATTAAAGGAGGTAAAAGCAAGCACACGAACGCTATGGACGCGCGATGAACTGCCACAAACCAGCTTCCCGCCAGATCGGTCCAGAGTGGGAGGGGACGGAGCTGGGCGGGTGAAGGACCACCAGAACACTGCTCCAGCGTTTCCTCAGCCCTGGGTCTGCTGTGGGTTATCCCTGTGGTAACTTTTCTGGCACCTAAATAAATATGAATAGATAAATAGATGAACAAGTAAATACATAAATAAATACATACAAAAACAAATAAAAACATTAATGAATGAGTAAATAAACTCATAAATAAATAACCATTAGAGAAGCACTTCATATTATTTGTAGTGATGCTTATTGACTGAAGTGTCATATGATTCTGTTCTGCTGTCCTTCACTGCTTTGTTCTGTTGCATTTACATATCTGTTTGCTTATGTTGAGTTCCTGTTCTCAGTTTACTCAGTTTACCTTGAGTCATTACAGTAATACTATGCAGTTACATTGCATAAATTGAAAAACATTTATTAATGCTACGGGAAAAAATGCTACGGTAGGGCACCTTCCTGGGACCCACCTCGCGGATCTGCCCAAATCTGTTTCGACTCCAGATTCGATGATAGTTCGACTCCAGTGCGATTCAAGGTCGACTAGAATCGACGGACTTCGACGCAGCACCGACGCAGGAGTGGAGCGAGCATGGCTCCAGGAGGCCGGCTGCGGGCGAGGAGGGAAGTGCGAAGGCGAAGGCCTTCTCGGCAGGCCTGGGGACCTGCGAGCTCTCTGCGAAGGCCCGCCCATCCCACTTCCCCCCCTTCGCTCGCCGCCGAAGAAGGTAGGTCCAGCCGGGTCGGGGGGATTGGGAAAGGGGGGGTTACGAACTCTGCTGCGTGCAGCTGGTTTCGGCCCCACCGAGGGGCCCATGGCCTCGATACATGGCCGCCTCCGGCGCAGGGGAGGCGCCGGGAAAATCGGCTGCGTGCGCTGCTTTTCACCCCTCCCTTTGCTATCCCTAAAACAGGGCTAGGATCGGGATAAATCGCTCCAGAGCGTTCTGTAGCGCTCTCAGAGCGTTCCGGAAGGCTCTGGAGCGGCCGCGGCGCCCCATACATCCTCCAAACCCGCCGATTCTCAGAAATTTCGAATTATCCCGATCCGATTTTGTCCCGATCTTCGCGTCGTTTTAATCCCCCCCTCGGCTCGCCGCCGCAGAAGGCCCCCCGAGCGAGCACACTACTCGCCGCTCGGCGCCGGCGTCCCACCGCGGTCCTCCCTTTGGCTTGCGCTGGGCCGCCCTTCTCGCGACCGCGAGCCAGGCGTGTGCATGCAGCTGCTGACCCCCTCGGGCTGGCTGCCGAGCGTCTCTCTGGACCGGCAGGGGGAGGCTGCCCGAGAGAGAGAGAGAGAGAGCGAGAGAGAGATAAGAAAAACAACAAAAAGAGCAGGGAGGCCGCCATAGGGGGGGCACGGGTCCCGGGGGACGCGGGCGCCGAGGTTTTTTTCCCTGGTTTTTTCGGGACCTCGGGGCCCTCCCACGGGCCCCAGGACTGTGAGAAATTCAGCCCAGGATGAGGATCTCGTCCTGGAGGGGGGGAGGTCCTGGGGTCCAGGACCCGTTGCCCTGGGGGCCCGCTTCCCCCATGCTCAGGGGAGGAGGGAGGGGGGAGGAGGGAGGGGCAGTGCCAGGGGGGGAATCGGCCCACGGAGGGTGGCAATCGACCCCATCTTGCCCATCGGTTGCCGATCGGGGCCTGACAACTCACCCCGCCCAGGAACAGTCGGTTGCGCCATCGGGGGCCTATCGCCGCTCTATCTGCCATGCATCGCCGACTCCAGGTCGACGCTTTTTCCCCTGAGCCTGTCCCCGCTTCCCTTACCCCCCCCCCCCCCGCACCCCATCCAAGAGGGAGCAGGCATGAGGCAGCAGGGAGGAATGGGGGAGGAGGCAGGAGGGCAGGGGAGGGAGGCAGAACGGCAAGAAAGGCGGAGCGTGGGCGGAGGGAGTGAGAGCAGAAGCGGCTGGGAAAGTGGGGGGGGGGGCAGTGGGAGGGGGGGGGGGGGGGGGGGGGACCGCCTCCTCCTCCTTCTCCTTCTCCTCCTCCTCCTCCTCCTCCTCCTCCTCCTCCTCCTGCAAGGCCCAGTGCGATCCGATGGATCCGATTCGATACCGGTTCTGAGCCGCCCAGCCCGGATCGACTCCGACACCGCCACGACCCGGTCAGGCCAAAATTGTTTGCGTGGTGCTGTTGTGCGTCATGCCGCGGCCGCTATGATCCAGTTCCGTGCCGGTGCGGCGCGCACTTCCACCTCACTGACGGCATAATCAACGCATGTCTTCTTCGTCCCTCGCTCCTCACCATTTTCCTCCACGCCCTGGTCATATGCATCCGCCTTCCTTCAACCTCCTGTCTTCTTGTTCCTTCCTTTCTGTCTCTTCCTCCGTATCTTTCGTTTCATACCTCCCTTCTTCCCGTTCTTCCCTCCCGCATCCATACTTCCATCTCCTTCCCTTTCTCCCCTCCTTCTCCTCTTCCTCCCCCTCCTCCTCCTCATTCCCCTTCTCCTCTCTCTCCCCCTCCGCCACCCCCCGCTTTTATCTACCCCATCTCCTCTCCTCTGTTCCCTCGCTCCTGTTCTCCTGCTTCCTCCCACGATAGGGCCGGGAGGGCCAGGAGAACGTGTTCGTGTCCATCAGGAGCTTTCGGCGTCCCCCGCGCGCGTCCTGCCAGTTCAGCGCGGAGGGCGTGGGAGCGCTGGGCCCACGTATGGACGGCGGCCTCCTCCTCTTCCTCCTCCTCTTCGACCTCCTCCTCCTTCTCTAGCCGTTCTGGCTCATATTGATTTTGAGCATGGTCGTGCGAAGTTCAGAACGACGCTGCGCCACCGAGCCTTCTGGATTCGTCTTTCCAGTCTACCGTGTGCAAGTGGCGTCTGCTCCCGCTTTCAGCATACAGTACGCAAGCGGCGCCTGCTCTCGTGTCAACCGTTCCGCAGTCATGTCGGGGCCCTGCGCCCAGAGGAAGGCACCCAACCGTCCGACCTGTTGGACGTGTCGGGCGTGCGGCTGTGGGAAGAACAAAATGGACAGGTGGTGGTACAAGCACTGCAAGTCAGGTTTCGTCTTTGAGGGTGGTTCGCTGTTTTTTGATCGCGTTGGCCATGGTGAGTATCAAGCTTGGTCTGTGCAGCTTCCTCTCCTTGTCGGCCCCCATCGGCTTTCCAGCGGATGGTTTGCACTCCCTTCGCGTGGTAAGATCAACACCGACGGACTCACGATGGACGAACTCTCTTCCTTGCAGGCGATCGCCACGAAACAATGGCAGTCCGAGTTGGCAAAGGCGCACGAGAACGCTAAACGAGTTCTGCAAGCCAGCTTGGTGCCCAAGCCAGGGGCCAGCTGGCACACCCGTGCTTCGCAGGCCTAGTCTTAATGAGTTGAAGAAGCGCCTGCACAAGGAACTCGACAAGCTCGGCCGCTGGCAGAAAGAAGCTCAGGAGCTCCAGGACTGCATTCGTGCGCTGTCGTCTGGGTTGGACGAGAACGAAACGACGCGCCAAGATCTCGTGGGTCAGATCAGGGACGAAGTCGCTCGCGAGCCTGCTGCTGAGTAGGCCAAGCCACGAGCCATCAGTATCAAGGCCCTCGTGGAGGGCGACGAGCTCAACCATCAGTTCCATGATGACCTGTTCACGAGCTTGGGCGAGTATGACCCCACGGCCGAGGACCAGTCGCAGCTCGCTGACAGGAAGAAGTTGCTGCAGACGGGCTTTCTGGACATGGCCAAGACACTCCTGGACGAGGCGGCGTCAAAGTTCCAGAAAACCAGAGAGAAACATCAGCAGCGCCTTGCTCGGATGTCCAAGCAGAAGAGGCGAGCCGAGGATGGCGTCGACGCAGCAGGGGCACCAATCCCCCGCGCCGCGGCAGCGGGATGCGCAGAGGGTGAGGCCGCAGGCCAGGCCGCTGGCCCCGCAGGCGATGCAGGAGGAGCTGATGCAGGCTTGGAGGCCAACGTTGCGCCGCCCTCTGGGGCCAGCCCTGGGCCGCGCACCCGCCTTCGCCGCGCATTGGGGGACCGGCCCCCACAGGGCAACTGAGACCCCCGTCCAGGCCCACGGGCGGGGGGCGCAGCTCCGGCTCAGTTTAGGCATTCCTCGGGCGAGCCTTCAATAGGCCGAGGGTTTTGTACAAGGGACCAGGCGGTCTCATCGCGCGTCGGCGCGGGCCCCAGTTTTGATGCCTCCCAGGTGCCACGGACGCCGTCCCAGGATCGTTTCAGCTTCGCCGTGAACGCCACATCATGTGGTCCGTGCCAGGCATGGCTTCGAGGGACCCAGGCCCATGCGGCGGCCGCTCAGGAACGCCATCCCTTTTTTTCGGAATCCTGCAGCAGTGCGCAGGCCTGGTAATTGCGCAATGGTTGGAAGGGAATGTCCCCCCCTGCGCGCCCAGGTGTCGGCGAGGGCAGCTCGGGCGGAGTGGCGATCTTAGCTCCTAATTCACCCGCTACCAAACCAAACTTCGGAAGTCGCCCCAGCTCGAGCGGTGGCTGGAGTCGTTCATCTTCCAGGGGGCCATGATCGCCGAATTCCAATGTTTTTTTATGTATTGTGTTATGGCCCGAGGGACTCGCGAACAGACGGGTGGACATCATGAGCGCTATCGGAAGCCTTCGAGACATCCACGCCTCCGAAATGATGATCGCCGGAGATTGCAACACGTGTCCACATATTATTATTTCTAGCGGGTTCCCCGAGCGGCCTTCGGGGCAGCCGCTCGCGCCTGACTGCGACGGCGCGCGCCATGCCGCTGGATGGGTGAGAATGCTCGATGTCTTTGTCGCCTCCAAAGGCTGTGCGAGGACGGCCGAGGAAGCATCGGTCGCGCGCGAATCACGCATCGCCCCGCACTTGCCAGCGCGGCTGGTTCTTCACGAAAGCGCTGCTTCCCTGCAGGCGCCGGTGTTCGACGGGCCCCCACCCCGTCCCCGCGGCTCGCCCCGTCGGCCCTGCGACGGGGGCCCCCCAACCTTGGAAACGAGCGGGGGCTTTGGGAAGAGATATGTTGCCCAGGCTTGTTCCTGGCCAGTCGACCCAGGGCCCCCCTGAGGCCCTCGCGCGTTTGTGCCGCATGTGGAATGAGCTTGCCGAGTGCAACGTCGCCGAGACGCCCCATGCTAAGCCCCCCGATGCGGCGCTAGAAGTCGCCCCCCATCGGTTGAAATGGGCCCCCGTGTCCCGCGCGAAACCCAGCGAAGTTGTCCGCCCTGCCCTCTTCGGAACCGAATGGTTGGCCAACGCGTTCCGTCAGTGGGGAAGCGCCAAGATGGGCCCCCCTTAAGGCCAGCTGCGCGCCTCCCTTCTCGGAGGCCCTCTGCGGGGCATTCCGAAGTTTCTTTCGGCTCATGCTGCCCTTTGGCAGAGGTGCCGGAGGAGCGCGGGCCCGTGTTATCCCGATCCCCACGTCTTGCCCGATGGGCGTTCGAAGCCGCATGTCAGAACGGCCCCTGCGAGCCAAGCTGGCGCCGCAAAAAGGCCAGGGCACAGCCCGATGCCGACCCTCGCAGTGAGAACGACTTCGAGCCAGCTGAGTGCGACGACACCGAGCTGCTCGAGGACATCCCCCGCAAGCGGAGCAGATCGCTGCAAGGATCCAGGCCATTCTCGTGGAAGGAATGGTTCTTGACTGACATCGAGAAGGGAGGAGACCCGCCCACGTCGCTAGAAAGCCCGCGGCGGGCTGGAAGGCGACGACTACCCAGTCTTCCGCGGGCGTCAGGGAGAACCCAGGCCGTTTTGTTCTCGGGCATCTGGGAGGCCGGACCTCGGGCCTTGGGCGTTGCCAAGTCCATCCAGGAGCACCCCCCTTAGCTCTGGCTTCACAAGAGAAGTCTCGAGGCAATAGTCCACGAGGAATGCGCGTGCCCAGGATGGATTCCGCATGAAACGCTGTTCTTGGATGCAGACCACTGCCTCGAGATAGTCCCCGTCATGCTGCAGATTATGGAATCCATCTCGCGCGTGCCTCTGCAGCTCCAGATCGCGCAGGTCATCCTGCGGGTGAAGCCGCGCGGCGGCTACCACCCCATTGGTTCTTTTTGCTTGCTATACCGCACCCTGGGGAGACGCCGTCGACTTCGCGCCCATCAATGGGGGGTTCGTTTCGCCAGCCCGCACTTCGCGGGGCAGGCCGTTCACGGGGGCCACGGACGTTGTCAGGCGGCAAATGGCGAGGTCCGAGGCGGCCATCTCCGGAGGGGGAGTTTCTGCGACCGCTTTTTGGGGCGCGACGAAATTTCACGAAGGCGTCTCCGTGGAGAGGCTGGAGGCTCACTGTGCCAACATCCAGTTCCCTCCTGCCTTATGCAAGTCGTCTCTCTCCGCTTGCCGTTCGGCCAGATGCATGAGCATGGGCTGCCTGGTGGCGGGCCGCCTTTCCCCATGGAGAGGAGTTATCGCAGGATGCAGCTCCGCTACCTCGCACGTCCGGGTCTACTGCGTCGTGTCGGGGACCACTCCATCGACAGTTTCGACATGCCCCCCCCCCCCCCCCCCTCCAGCACGCAACTGGATCCATGCATCGATGACAGCGGCGTCTCCGCCACGGGCACTGCCAGCCATGTCGGCGCCAGTTTGAAGAATGCGTCCGTTAGCATCCACAGCGATATTGTTTCAGATATGGAGCGCGGCATGTCGCGCGACAACGCTGCCTTTGTTACCTCCAGCAGGGGTGCGAAGGAGCAGCTCTGCAGTTTCCTCGGCCCCTTGGCTGGATTGTTACCTCCAGCAGGGGTGCGAAGGAGCAGCTCTGCAGTTTCCTCGGCCCCTTGGCTGGAGAGCCCACCGATAGCGCGGTGACGCGGCTGGCAGGCTCAGGAGAATCGGAGAACGCAGCGGGAAGTTCAAAATCAGAATGGACCACCTTAAGGGCACCACTCGAGTAATGGCTAGGCTCCCCTCCCAGCTCGGTAGATTCACGAAGCAGATCTTGGTCCCGGGGGCGCCGCCCGGAATTCTTTACGGAGCCGAAGTGCATTGTTTTTCTGATTTCGAGCTCGCGAAACTCCGTCGCGAAGCGGGGGCAGTTTTATCCCTTGCCTTTACCCGTCGCCTAGAGCGTGGGGCAGACCCCTTGCCTTTGCCCCTCCTGCCCAGGGCGACCCCGCCTGGGTCGGTTCCGTCACCCCCCATGGTCAGATGCAGCACAGAGGTTTGGGCCGCCCATGCCCACGCGCGCCCTCGCGCCCTCTCCCTCTCCCACCTCTCCCGAGGGCCGACGCCCAAGTGGAGACAAGTCAGTGGGCCCTTGACGGCCGTGCGTTTGTCGGTTGCCAGGACAGGTTGGAGCACGTCGGGCTTCGCGACCCTTATCTCGGACTTCGGCGAACCCATTCCATTAACATCGGTGGCGCCAGCGTTGCTCGAGACACTGCTTCGCGACGCAGTCTTCCGTCAGCCTGAGCGAGACTCCAGGGGCAAGCTTGGCCTCCCTTGCGATCGACTGTGTTTTGACACCGTCAAAGAACAGCTTCGGTTGAAACGCTGGTCGCCGATGGAGAAAGGAAGGGTTCGTAGTTTGTGTTGCGAGGGTCCGCGGGCGACTAACCACGCCGTCCAAGCCGGCTACACAGTGCAAACTTGTTGCTGGCATCAACGCGGTCAGGCGTCAGATACGCCGTTTCACGGGCTCTGGGA